CTATATACTTACCCACTTGTAATTTAAATTTAACGCGTAAGTGAAAGAACAAAGAAGTAATATTTACATTATTTTATGAATAAACTATATACTTACAAACTAGTAATTTAACATGTAAGTGGATGAATAGAGAATTCTATTTAATAGAGAATTCTATTGACGATAAAATGTGTACATTATTTTATGAGTAAACTATATACTTACACCCTGGTAATTTAACATGTGAGTAAAGAACAGGAAAGTAATATTAAATAGAGAATACTATTGATAATAAAATGCGTACATTATTTTATAAATAAACTATATACTTACCAACTAGTAGTTTAACACGTAAGTAAAATATCAGAGAAGTAATATTTAATAGAGGATCTATTGACGATAAAATGTGTGTATATTATTTTATGAATAACCTATATACTTACACCCTGGTAATTTAACGCGTAAGTGAAAGAACAAAGAAGTAATATTTAATAGAGACGATAAAATGTATGTACATTATTTTATGAATGAATTATATGCTTACGCCCTGGTAATTTAACACGTAAATAAAAGAACAGAGAATTAATATTAATAGATAATTCTATTGACGATAAATGTGTACATTATTTATGAATAAAATATATACTTACGCTCTGGTAATTTAACACGTAGTAAAAGAACAGAATTGTAATATTTATAGAGAATTCTATTGACGATAAAATGTTATTACATTATTTTATGAATAAACTATATGCTTACGCCCTGGTAATTTAACACGTAAGTGAAAGAACAGAGAAGTAATATTTAATAGAGAATTTTATTGACGATAAAATGCGTATATTATTTTATAAATAAACTATAATTACCGTCTAGTAATTTAACATGAAGTCAAAAACAGGAAAGTAGTATTTAATAAAGAATTATATTAATGATATAACATGTACATTATTTTACGATAAAATGTGTGTACATTATTTTATGAATAAACTATATACTTACTTCCTGGTAATTTAATACGTAAGTGAAAGAACAGAGAGGTAATATTATCAAGGATTCTATACTTACGCCCTGGTAATTTAATACATAAGTGAAAGAACAGAAAAATAATATTTAATAGAGAATAAGTTTCACAGTAATACATTCGTTAGATAGAATGCTAAGCGTCTCTGAATACTTCTTTTTTTTTATCTTTTTTTTTTTTTTTAATTTGCTTAAATTGATAATCAGCATTTTGATAATTTTAGTAATACTATTCTGGAATTAGTAAAAAGTCAATAATCAATTTTTAGAGGTAAACTTTTTATTTCTCAGAATTTCATTCTCATACGCTCAAATAATAATAAAAATATTAACACGACAAAAATAACTATACTATATATATTTTTTAAAATATAAAATATAAGTAGCATATTATTCTAACAAAAATAAGCAACGCGTACATAAAACTTAATGCAATACAATGAACATATGTAACTTCTGTGATCACTATAAAAAGTTTATTTTATATTTAGCAAACTTGGTAAATCATTTTTCCTAATAACGTGATCAATAATTTAATTTATGCAGGTCGATTTTAAGAATCATCAAAAAATCATAATATTGTCATTTGTACAACTTTTTATGTGTAGTATCACCATAACACTAACATGATCATCAAATTGAAATCCCAGGGTTACCCTGCCATCGTCTCAAGAAAGTTTCGATCGAATATAATCAAAGCTTATGCGTTATATCATTGTTCATAAATCAAGGCACAAGACAACCAGATTGTTACTAAAAAAATAATTTCAATAAATAAAATAATAAATAAATGAAATTAGGTAAATTTCTTAATGGGTGAATTTACTACGAAGTTCGGTACGCAAATATTTTTAGGTTAGTTATTAATAAAATGAATATTTTTTCAATTTAACAAATGTATTTTTAATAGCAAAAAATAATAATAATTTAAACTTAAAAATGATTTATAACACTTAAATTACTATTACAGGATACAGAACGAATTGCATACGGGAAACCTATACACAAACGAATGTTCACGTGATATTTAAAAAATTATAAATACAACCTGAATACGATAAAAATTTTTTGGGGGCATGATCTAGATCAGATCTGCGCAAAGTAACGCTGCGATATATATAAGATCAAGATCAAGATAATATGAAATTTTTTGATGAAATCTTTCCGTTTTAACCTAAAAGGAAATTTGGCGGATCACGAGTAAGGCCGCATCCAATAAATAAGAAGTTTAACGACTAATCTTAAACTTTATTGGAAACGATCTACGACATGCGGGCAAAGAAAGATTGGAGGGAGTTAATTTTTTATTTTCAATTAGCGATTTTACAGTATATTAGGATAATATTCCTTTGACATCAATTTCTTACAAAGGACATTCAATTACAAAATGACAATTAAAATAAGGTTTATTAAATTGTAATATCTCGTGATATAGATTAGTTTCAAGAACAATGAACCCAGTGATATCTTCGTGATAATCACTAGTGTTCATTCGAGATTCGGATTCGATCCGCAAATTTCATAATTTGCAGATCCTGCGGATCCGAATCCAAAGAGAGATTCAATCGAATAATATTTGATTCAGATCCATTAGAAATACACAAATATCAGAACTCTGATTTCTTATATATTTTATATTAGTATAATTATAAGTCTTCTTAACGAAATTTATAAACCATTATAGTTTCTAATGTAATGTAAAAGCTGTTGCCTAAAGAAAAAAAGAAGAAAACGAAAGAAGTCTTGTGATATGATAAAGCTAGGCTTTATAAAATGCATAATTTTTAAACAATAGTATAAGAATATAATAAGAAATGGTATGCATATACATTTTTATACATTATTTATAAACTTACGAATAACACATATTTCATTATCTGCGAAAAATTTATCAAATATGCGCTTTTAACATCGCACATTTTTTCAATTATATAGTACTTGAATCTATCTGGAATTTTTTCGTCCTCCATTCTGCTCCATAAACTGTCATAAATCATCGTCTCTCAGAACTATTATTCTGTTCTGGAAATTATATATTCAACATATTACGTCTCATTCAGTGTCTAAAATAATTGTAGACGGACCACTAGTTACATATAGATCCTGATACACTGCAGCGCACATAAAACTTTAAATGTGTATATTTATACTTATTTTAAAATATATGTGCACATATATATAGTTAGAAAATAACTCCAAATAAATATGTTGATAGTTTTATTTTTTTTGCACAACTATATATTATTACACATTTTTATTTTTTGTTACAATAGCAAACTAAATGTATTATCAGGTACATTATTAATTATTTAATTATGCATTGAGTATTTTTCATGTCAAAGTGCAAACCATATATGATTTAAAAATTTTAATGTGTGAATTTTGTCCATAGTTTCATATATATGCAAAGTAAACATATCGTTAGCATTCAAGGTATAGTAATTTTTAATATGCAATCCGCTCCTTCCACACATTATTTTAGGCACTAAAGGTCTCAGTACGATTACGTCTTTTCCAATAAAAATAGATAACAGCACCTACACAAATTATAACGAAACCTACCACCATTATTATAATTATTGATAATGTAGTAAACCTAGGTTCAGGCGGGGTTATATCAACAACATTAAGTGCCCAAGGACCTCCACATATTTGTAAATTATGATTCGCACAACTTGAACTACATTCTGATCTATCTAAAATAACATTCCATTTATTGCATTGAGATGCATTACCACAGAAACATTGAGTTCCATCTTCTACACCAACACATACAGAATCGCTCTTTTTCTTACAAATGCTTATACAAGAATCAATTGTAAGGTTACTATATTCTCCGTTACAACTCAAAACACGAGAATCATGATAGTCTTGAACACATGACATATTATTATTACTAATTATATTAAGTTTTGTTTTAGTATCTATTCCTTGATTCAATAAATAATGAGATTCAGTACTTGAAATTTTAAATATGCAAACTACATTAGTGTCATTACTAGTGCAATTATAATTAGCAGTACATTCTAATGGATAATCAAGGTAGTTATTAGTAGTGATTGGATCCGGATGCTTAAACGGATATCGGATAGATATCCACTTTAAAAAATATTTATCCGGATATTATCCGATTTCAAATTTACTAAATCGGATTATATCCGAATTTTGCAACCAGATTTTTTTTTTTTTTTATAAAGGCGCATTAATGATAGTGAGGGTTTAATATTGTAACTATGCTACTTTACAACATACTCTTCTTTATTAAATAGAAGTATTGGTTCTATATATAAAAGAATACTTTCTGGAACCTGCTAAACTATATCAGAAGCACACGTTATCATATTATCCTCGTATCAGTATGCGTGCCACTTCATATAGTGAGCTTTAATAATCACGATACCAATTTAGTCCAGTGTTGGCACATGACCAGGTCATAACAGGTCATATCACTAAGTTCAATTAGTAAAGTCATATGACTATGGTCATATGACTTTACTAATTGAACTTAGTGATATGACCTGTTATGACCTGGTCATGTGCCAACACTGATTTAGTCTGATACTCGATTATAAAAGAAAAATCATAATTAATTCATTACACCGGATACGAATCCGGATATCCGATTTAATTATATAAGTCATCCGATTTTAATTTAATGATAATCGGATATCCGAATTATATCTAGATATCCGGATTTTCCTTAAACCGGATCCAACCACTAGTTATTAGAGTAATTGTCAAAACCATTATTCCCACAAATACGAAATACAGCCATTTCCTCTTAAAGTAGAATAATTATAAGCGAGATCTGCACAATGCAATGGTCCAAACATAAACGTGCATCCATCAGGTTCTGATGAGTATTAAAAGCCTGAGTAGGGAAACCTAAGTCATTTAAGCTGCTCCCGCTTATATTGTAACATCTACCAGATGGCTGGTCTCTTGTAACGGGACATTAATACATCATAATAAATTCTTGATTGAACTAATTAAAATATTCGAGATATCTTTGAAAATAATTACCCATTAGGTTATTGAATATAATAAATGAGGTGGAAAAGGTAATTGAAGGTCTAAAAAATTCAATTTTTTATCTTTCAGAGAATCTGAATAAGACGACATAAAATGAGAAATGTGGTATTAAATATGTATTTTAACTTTCTGTCAAACATAGTACTGACTAGGTTGCAGGTGAAACTAATCTTCAATGGTGCACCGATGGTGAAACTAGAGTTATAGATGAAACTAATCTTCAACGGTGCACCGATGGTGCACCAGTTTTCTAGTGAAATGAATTAGTTTCACCAGCAACTCTAGTACTGACATTTTATATACATACACATACCCAATGGAGTATTAGTAGTAGTTTGAGCTGTTATATTAATTTACACGACATATAACGAAATTTTTTCTATTTGTATGTTGATATCTCAAACCCGACGATACAAATTACTATTGGGGTTTCAACGATGAATGTTTTTGTAAAAATTTTTAGCATAAATTATAACTCTTCAACCCGAAGCTAACCTTTCCTTAGTCGAGTTGATTTTATTTATATTTTATGTTATACAAATTTGTTACTCAATAATTTAGTATCTGTTGTATAAACACTACGTGTAAGCTAATAACGATAATTTTCTCAAACCAATCATTTTTTTGTGATAGTGTATAAGTATAAGATTAAAATAAAATTGAACTATACGATTGCTATATTAAGTGCATAAAGCCTATTTTAAAATGGAGATTTCCGTTTAGGCCAGACCAACTGAATTTTGTGTTTTACATTACCCCCCTCTCCCCTCCGGAAGAGGGGAGGGGAGAATTTGTGGGTTACATAGTAAAATTTTTAAAAAAATTCCGAATTGTTCCGTGGCTTTATAAAAATTTCCGAAATATCCCGTAGCTCTATGTATAACTCATACAGCAACTCTAGGGATTGTGGCACAGCGGTCATAGGCATGCCACCATGGCATGCCCAAAGCTAAAACAGTCTATAGGCATGCCACTTATATGATATGTCTTGCTTTAGTTAAAGAAATATTCGGTATTCCGAAATATTCCAAAATATTCTAAGTAGAAAATCAAACAACATGAGAAAAACTAAAGCAAAGGTCCGAAAAATAGTTTAATTATATTATGGCATGCCTATAGTATGGCATAGCATAAATTTTGGCTAATGGCATGCCAAATTTTTTTGCCGTGCCACAATCCCTAAGCAACCCCCAAAATACAGGAGCGACCGTCGATGTTACACGACTGACTTTTCACCCGGTGTGCAACATATAAAAAAACTATTTTACAAT